GATGCATAAAACAATGTTCATGACCCTGAATAGCTTATTAAGTGGTAAATCGTTTCTAAAGGGTAGAAAAAAAATTAAAAAGAGAAGAGAAAAAAAGAGGTCTTTAAATAGTTTTTTCAACAATTAATAATTGACCAAAGTTTAAACAATTGTAAATGCAATTTCTAAACTTCAAATAAGAAGTTCATTGAATTTTGTTGAGGAATTGTAAATGCGATCTTCAGAATTCGAATAAAAAATTGTAGAATTTGTTGAGTGGATACCAAGAGATCTATGATCAAAATTTAAAGAATTATAAATGTAATTTTTTAAAAGTTTATTGAGTTTGAGTGGTGGTCGTCGAAATATTGCTGCTTTTATAGATGTTTTGAATTTTTCAGAGATGATGATTAGCCAATCGAAACTAATTTTCAGAACATGTTATTACAAATTCCGTCATTCTCTGGAATCTTTTTCCGTGATTTTAGTTCAGTTTTTTGAAACTCTTTTTAGAGTTTTTTGGTAACTTTCTCAGAGTTCTTTGATGATTTGAAAATTTTCTGATGTGTTTTGGAATCCTTTTACCAACTTTCTTTGTTCTTTTGGTGTTTTTCATCTCTTTTTTGGTGTTATTCTCAGAATTCTTTCAGCAATCCTTTGATAGAATTTTGAGTTATTGTAAGATGATGATTAGCCAATCAAAATTAGTTCTCAGATCATGTTTTTACAAATCTTCCGGCATTCTCTGGAAATTTCTTCCGCGACTTTAGTTGATGACTTTTTTGGAGTTTTTTTGCGACTTTTTTGAAACTCTTTGGTGACTTTTTTGGAATTTTCTGGCGTCTTTTTTTCAGAATTCTTCTGGCAATTGATTGGGTAACTCTGGTGTTTTTATTGAAATTCTTGTGATTTTCTTGGTTCTTTCTTGGAATTCTTTCGTGATTGTTTGGAGTTCTTGGTGACTTTCTTGAAATTCTTTGGCGCTTTTCTCAGAGTTCTTTTGTGACTTTCTTGAAGTTCTTTGGAGATTTTGGAGTGTTGGCAATTTTTCGGAGTTTTTCAGTCGGTTTTTTTATAGGTGAGATCGTTTTTTTTATTAAGACTCAGATACGTATTGGCATGTTGTGAAATTGTGTTATTTCTAATTTTTTGTCCGGAGCGAAGCAGATGACTCATACTGACTCATACTTCTATGAGCTTTGATGTCTGAAATTACTTTTTTAACAATAAAAATATCAAAAAAAAAAAAAAAAAAAAAAAAAAAAAATCGGCATTTCATTTGTAACGCCGCGTGTCTATATTTGTACTTTGTGTAAAAAAATCATGCATGTTTACGCGTTTGTGTAATATGTAGAGATAAAACATTCTCAAATTAAGGGTAGTTATCCTATTGCTACCCACTTATGGCTATGCTAATGTCTGCATCTTTAGCAATATATTAATCATGAGCTATAGACTTAAACCAGTTTTCAGTTCCTTTTTTTTATTAAGCATATCAGTTACACGAATATGCAATGGTCGTCAACATTGCATCACCTCCAGAAATTTTAGATTACACCTGGAAGATGCATCATATTTGGTGATGATAATAATTTTCAATTTTGTTGAGAAATTGTAATTGTAATTTCAGAGTTCAAATTAAAAAATTCATTCATTGAATTTATTGGGGAATACCAGAATACATATTTGATCTTTTTTTATTTTTTATTACATATGGCTATTTTTATTTATTGAATATTCGTATTCTGAGATTTCATAAAGTTCAAGAAATTGCCAAATTTTTATTACCTGTTATGTCAATTTACGATAGAAATTTTATCTCCTAAATTAAGTACCTCAGTTGTTGGGATCTCAGGATTTCTGAGGATTCTTTCGCGCTATTTCTTGTCCGTAACTAGAGATTGTCTTAATTTTATTTTTTGCTTGTGAAATGCTACTTTTTCATAAAAGTACTCTAAACTGTATAAATTCAATTGAATAAAATTGATCAATCATAAGAAAGTTATATTATATACTCAAACATGACTTGAGTTCCATTCAGGTTCAAGTCCAAAAGTTCACAAAAATGTTTAGGTTCGATATTTTTTCAGTGATTTCCGAATTTTTTTCCCGTCCATTTTCCTGAAAATTCATTCCTTCTTCCGAAATTTCATTGCTTCTTCCTGAAATTTCATTTCTTCCTGAAATTTCATTTCGTCCTGAAATTTCATTTGTCCTGAAATTTCATTTCGTTCTGAAATTTCATTTCGTCCTGAGATTTCATTTCGTCCTGAGATTTCATTTCGTCCTGAGATTTCATTTCGTCCTGAGATTTCATTTGTCCTGAGATTTCATTTCGTCCTGAGATTTCATTTGTCCTGAGATTTCATTTCGTCCTGAGATTTCATTTCGTCTTGAGATTTCATTTCGTCCTGAGATTTCATTTCGTTCTGAGATTTCATTTCGTCCTGAGATTTCATTTCGTCCTGAGATTTCATTTCGTCCTGAGATTTCATTTCGTCCTGAGATTTCATTTTGTCCTGAGATTTCATTTCGTCTTGAGATTTCATTTCGTCCTGAGATTTCATTTCGTTCTGAGATTACATTTCGTCCTGAGATTACATTTCGTCCTGAGATTACATTTCGTCCTGAGATTACATTTCGTCCTGAGATTAAATTTCGTCCTAAGATTACATTTCGTCCTGAGATTACATTTCGTCCTGAGATTACATTTCGTCCTGAGATTACATTTCGTCTTGAGATTACATTTCGTCCTGAAATTACATTTCTTCCTAAAATTACATTCCGATCCTGATTTACAACATTTACTGTAAGTTACACAATTTAATGAATCATTTATCTTGTTATTTAACTTTCTTTTATTCACGTTATTTTAGATAAATATAAAGAACATTTATTAATTTAAGTATTTAAAATGAGTTATTCAAATTCCTTAATCTTTATTATTTCATTTTCTTTTATTCCCATCAATTTAGAAGCTTACTATTCCGGTTTATGAATCTTTTTATTATTTAATTTTGGGTAGTACAAAGACAATCTAAGTATTTAGAATAAATTACCAAGTTTATGAATATTTATTATTTTTTAATTTTCTTTTATTGCATTAATTCATTTTGTCGCGAATATGAAGAAAGCTATTGTTAACAATAACTATTCAATGTCATGAATATTTCTATTTTATTTTGTGTCAATTCAGTGTGAATATAAGAAAAATTATTAATTGGTAGTCTGCAGTTAAAGGGAACAAATTTCATAATGGCATGCATTTACTAGTTACCTTATATAGTAAGTGAAAGCCATGTGTTCCGTTTTTTAAGAAAAAACCCTATGGTAAACAATTGAAAACTACTCACATCTCATGATTTATCTAATCGATTTGATGATTTTACTACCATTAGAATCAGAAAATTAGCACTACAACTTTTATTATAAGCTAAAAGAAGAGTTACTTGATAAAAAATACTTTTATATGTAAGCAAGTCCCATTCCTCTATAGAAAAACCATGAATTTCCCGACTTTGTTTATTATAAGATATATAATTTTTTTTCTACCCTTTAGAAACGATTTACCACTTAATAAGCTATTCAGGGTCATGAACATTGTTTTATGCATC